GCAACGTCCTATTGTGTAAGCAGTTTCTGACGCCTCACAATGATATCCTTTGTTGAGGCACTGAACCTACATGTACAACAGACGCATTACTTAAGTTGGAAAAGAAATATACAGTTCCACCTGGACTTTTGATTGCTGTATCAATGACCCCATAAAGTTTCTTTTTTATTCATACAAATGTAATTGTGTGTTTTAAGATCTCATTTCATACGGATGTCGCTTTCTTAAATATTTGCACTTTATTTTTGAAAGGCATTTCCACTGCAAATAAATTATACCTCTTCTACTTTGAAAATTCACATCATTACATGTACCACAGTACCGTTTGTTTTTTCTTTGTATTTCCATTGACTAATAGAATTCCAATCTCAAGAACGAGATAGTTGCTGGAATATTTCTCAGATGTTTTATTCATTCTTATGAAAGCATCGAATTATGAATCTTAAAACATACTATATTGGTTTCGTTATATTAGAAAACCCGGTTTGCGGAAGTTGGTCAGGGTAACTAATCAATAAGCTTTGGAGCATATAGAGAGATTGTTGAAATTCCGGAATCCAGTTTTGTTTGCACCGTATCTGTTTTATTTTATCTATAATGAACCAGCCAATCAAAACCTGACTATAAAAAGTCAGACATGCGTCAAACGTGTCTAATGATCATACTACAGTCATGAAATGTGTAACTTTGAAGTCGGCAGAACCGGAATATTTATTCCGAAGTGCGCATTTTGAATTGGATATAACATTTATTTGTTAATTTCCACGTACTTTTGATAATTTCAAACATCATTAAGACTTAACATTTTCTCAGGATAAGCAGCAGGAAACTACATAAGTGTACTTTTGCAAACCAAAGCTAGGGCATTAAGAAAATTACAGTTTAAAGGAAATTTAAACGGATGGGCGGAGATATGTATGCTGGAAATCTCCGTGTAATCAGGTAGAAAATTATTTCAGTAAGTGACAAAATATATACAATTTATTTCAGAACTATTTGGAAGACATGATTTTCAAAGTTATTAATGAAATCATAATATTAAATTACTGTTACTGCCAAAATGTCTTTTTTTCTTCTTAAATCATTATTTCTTTCATTATAAATACGCGGGGAGAAATTCGTTTAATTACAGAGAAGAAATATAATTGCAACATGAAATACCCAATGATTTTAGCACATTCAACATAGAAGATCGTCAATGTATTTTAGAAAATAAAATACATTCTAAATTTTGAAATTGAAGAAATTTTTGATAAAAAATACAAACAAACAAAATATATGTTGTGATAGGCGTCATGAATTAAACTTATATACTTCGGAGCCTTACAATGTGACAAATGATTAACTAGTTTTGTTTTTCCTTTTACATGATTATTTCATTATTTTAGCATATATAATTGTCCATTGAAGCTTTATGTTGCCACTTGAACCTCAATATTATGCACACCGATATATAGCTTCAAGAATTTCTGATAATTTTTGGTAATTCAAATGTAGTTTTCAAGTCTGGCTCAGCGAATGATATCCTTCCTGGGAAGGTAAGTCTTCGTATCCATTCTCAAAAAGTATTATTCCTTTTTAATTTTCTAAATTATCATTGATCTATTGACATTGAAAACTTACTGATAGAGAAATGGCTGCCGCTAGAAACGAATAAGCCTGCTGCTGCAAAAATGGAGCAAATTATTTGTGTCCCTTTTATACATGTCGTTTCCTTTATTATAATGTACTCATATACACCATGATTTTCCCTTTTGTATCTCTTTTACGTAACCAAACGTTTACGCATTTAAAAGTTTGGTCCTATATTATTGTATTGTATTAATGCCCCATTAAGAATGTAGCAAACGAAGAAACAATTATTTATAATTGAAAAGTATATATATTTGTGTGATAGAGACCAAAGCTCGTATCCATGAAACCGTTATCATGTGCAAGCATGATTTCTGTGCTCAAGCCAACTTTCTTGTAACCTGCTTAAATCATGTAACATGGTAAAAAAAATCAAGAGTAAACACTGAAAACAGTAATCAGCTTAAAGTCTTTCGCAATGTGTAAGATATCATTGACAAAACATGATTCTTTTAGTAATTTATCACTGGCACAAGAAATTGGGCTTGAATACAGAATGTGGGTTTGAGCATGAGACCGGTTTCATGAATACGGGCCCAGGTGTTCCGGAAGGATAAGCAATAGGTCTCCTGGCAACAGTAATCTTAAATTATTGTCCCAAACTAGTGCACTGTCAATGGAAGGTTGCAAGTTACAAAGTAAGTACAATGTCCTTTAGTTATAGCGTTAACACACAAGGAAAACATACTGAAGAAACTCAACAACACAAAATTAACACGAAAGCATCAATAATGGACCACACCGAGACAACAACACGAACAGATCTCACACAAAAACAACATGCATTAACCTGAACGTGAGCTAGATACCAACAGAAAGACAATCAAACAAAACGAAACACGTCAGGAATCTCTTCAAAATTCCAGAGAAGAATTCATGAGCTTCGGGAGGATGCACGCTTTCTACTCTACATGCTGCAGCCGCCATCTTGACCCGAGTTAAATCCAGAAAAGCCTGTATGTCATCAACAAAACCGGGGTAGAGGGATACATCTTTTTTCATTCATCTCGCCAAAATATTGTCGTAGTATCTTCGGGAAACAGAGTCGGTGAAAATCGCTACCCGTAGCAGTATGAAGCCAAAGTCACACGACCGTTATTAACTTTATCACTTCTTATTGGTAACTAACGGTTTTATTTGTTGGACAGGAAACATCATGAACGGGACTTCATGTGGTGTTTCTGGAACCGTCTTCGGAGATTTCTTTGAATACATCCTATATACTGTATAGTGGTGTTTTTTTCGCGTGTGAAAATGTTCGCATTTTGACCCGTTAATCTGTGCGGAATTTTTCGCGATGACAATAGTTGTAAAATCTACATATTCGAATCATCTATAATCTATATAATCTTCAAATGGATATTCGCGCATGGATATTTTCGCGCTAATTCATTTACCAGCAAACACAAAATGAACATTTTCTTGCCGCAAAAATCTCCATTTTACCAGTATCTCACTTTGTTTCTGGTCTCAACAGTCCCTAATAATTTTCAAATACTTGTGACAATTTTGTCAATGTGTGTTGATAGATATAATTTAGTATGTTTGTTTCATTGTATGATAATGAAATGCATGTTCCATATATTTTTTTAACATTTTAGCGCACACAAGAAAAAATTTCCGAGTAAGGAATAAGATATATTGGAACTAAGGATTGTCTCTACATTCTCCGAGTAAACGAATGTTTGAAAGTTGAAAATATATCGGTGGCAATGGAATTGAGTTGATAATATACACTGCATCAGTGGTAATACTCTCACACATACGATAACGGTCATCCGGTCGGCTAACTTAAATAATGCAAAATAACTGACGTGCAGTGATAATGTTACAAAGAAAAAGCAAGCAGGAGGGCTTCTTAAATTTGAATAAAAGAGGATGATGAGAACCGTTTCGTCTCCACCGATAGTCCTGGTACATCCTCAGTGTCGACATTTAAAAAATATATAAAGTTACCGCTTCAATCGTCCCCCTGCTGTTGATCTGTTTTTAATATGTAATATGCTTATGAGAAATGCGGCTATCTCCTTTTTGTTTGTTATTTACTCCGCTTGGACAAGTGTACGCAGTGGGAACCCAGACACTATCGCCTGATGAATTTCACAAGCCACAACATTAGGTAATTAATAATATATTTATGTTTTTAGATTCACAACGAGATTAGATTGTATCCCCAGCTGTCTCAGCATAAGATATTACAATGTTTTTTAAATGTCTTTTAAAAGGCGTTTATAGCCTAATGTTTATATTTATCCTTTAATTATCCGATCATTTCATTTATCTCATATCTACGGGGTGTTACGTAGTGAGCATTTAATGTATTGTCATGTATGTAATTACCGATATTGTACTGTAAAAAATGTTAAATTTCGCTATCTGGATTTTTTGCGCTCATCACCAGCATTGCTAACGCAAAAATGTCCACACCACGAATGATTTGACGAATTCACAGACAAACAAATCCGATTGTTTTAAACACTCGTCTACTTTCATGTGGTATATTTACTAGTCTATGTATACATAAGTAAATTGTGACATTATAAGCAAAGCAATAGAAAATTTGTCACAGATTTCAAGATGGAAATATGTATATGTCCATGACAGATTCGCTTTTAAAAACTCTACATCTATACGGTCGTATCTAGAAATGTGATAAAATAGATATTAAAATCCATTGCATTTAATATAGAAATAATGCTAGTCGTTCGCGAATGCTAATCTCACAGTAAGAATGAAAATTGTTGGAGTTCGTTTTATTTATTAATTTCGTACGGAAACGGGTTATTTCACCCTGAACCACCATTACACGTAAGTGTGGCACGGGAAAAGGCTACATTTCTGCTGTAACTGGTTCATCTCGAATGCTTTTTGTTTGTTTTTGTTTTTATTTATGTGGTTATTTTTTGTGGGAGATGATGTTATGTTTCCAATTGATTTTGTCACCTTTTATTTCCTTGTTAGTGACCGCAAGCAAAGGAAACGATATACCAGGGATTTAATTATACTTCCAGTGAAAGAATGTTAAGCAAAAGGAAAGTGACATTTAATAACGATGATGTTCAAAGAAGAGGCGCATAAAAATAGTGGCACATAAAAGTAAAGAAATGACCCATAACAGAAGTAACATATTAAAGTAAAGAAGTGGTGCTTAAAAGAAGTAAAGTAGTGGCACATAATAGAAGTAAAGAAGTGGCACAAAAAGAAGTAAAGAAATGGCACATAAAGGAAGTAAAGAAATGGCACATAAAAGAAGTCAAGAAATGACCCATAACAGAAGTAACATATTAAAGTAAAGAAGTGGAGCTTAAAAGAAGTAAAGTAGTGGCACATAATAGAAGTAAAGAAGTGGCACAAAAAGAAGTAAAGAAATGGCACATAAAGGAAGCAAAGAAATGGAACATAAAAGAAGTAAAGAAATGGCACATAAAAGAAGTAAAGAAATGGCACATGAAGGAAGTAAAGAAGTGGCACATAAAAGAAGTAAAGAAATGGAACATAAAGGAAGTAAAGAAATGGAACATAAAAGAAGGAAAGAAATGGCACATAACAGAAGTAAAGACGTGGCACATAAAAGAAGTAAAGAAATGGCACATGAAGGAAGTAAAGAAGTGGCACATAAAAGAAATAAAGAAATGGCACATAAAAGAAGAAAAGAAATGGCGCATAAAAGAAGTAAAGACGTGGCACATAAAACAAGTAAAGAAGTGGCACATAAAAGAAGTAAAGAAATGGAACATAAAGGAAGTAAAGAAATGGAACATAAAAGAAGAAAAGAAATGGCACATAAAGGAAGTAAAGAAATGGAACATAAAAGAAGAAAAGAAATGGAACATAAAAGAAGTAAAGAAGTGGCACATAAAGGAAGTAACGTGGCACATAAAAGAAGTAAAGAAGTGGCACATAACAGAAGTAAAGAAGTGGCACATAAAAGAAGGAAAGAAGTGGCACATAAAAGAAGTAAAGAAATGGAACATAAAGGAAGTAAAGAAATGGAACATAAAAGAAGAAAAGAAATGGCACATAACAGAAGTAAAGAAATACCACATAAAAGAAGTAAAGACGTGGCACATAAAGGAAGAAAAGAAGTGGCACATAAAAGAAGTAAAGAAATGGAACATAAAGGAAGTAAAGAAATGGAACATAAAAGAAGAAAAGAAATGGCACATAAAGGAAGTAAAGAAATGGCATATAAAAGAAGTAAAGAAATGGCACATAAAAGAAGTAGAGAAATGGCACATAAAGGAAGTAAAGAAGTGGCACATAAAAGAAATAAAGAAATGGCACATAAAGGAAGTAAAGACGTGGCACATAAAAGAAGTAAAGAAATGGCACATGAAGGAAGTAAAGAAGTGGCACATAAAAGAAATAAAGAAATGGCACATAAAGGAAGTAAAGACGTGGCACATAAAAGAAGTAAAGACGTGGCACATAAAAGAAGTAAAGAAATGGCACATAAAAGAAGAAAAGAAATGGCACATAAAAGAAGTAAAGACGTGGCACATAAAAGAAGTAAAGAAGTGGCACATAAAAGAAGTAAAGAAATGGCACATAAAAGAAGTAAAGACGTGGCACATAAAGGAAGTAAAGAAGTGGCACATAAAAGAAGTAAAGAAATGGCACATAAAGGAAGTAAAGAAGTGGCACATAAAAGAAATAAAGAAGTGGCACATAAAATAAGTAAAGAAATGGCACATAAAGGAAGTAAAGAAGTGGCACATAAAAGAAGTAAAGAAATGGCACATAAAGGAAGTAAAGAAATGGAACATAAAAGAAGTAAAGAAATGGCACATAACAGAAGTAAAGAAGTGGCACATAAAAGAAGTAAAGACGTGGCACATAAAAGAAGTAAAGAAGTGGCACATAAAGGAAGTAAAGAAATGGCACATAAAAGAAGTAAAGAAATGGCACATGAAGGAAGTAAAGAAGTGGCACATAAAAGAAGTAAAGAAATGGCACATAAAAGAAGAAAAGAAATGGAAGATAAAAGAATTAAAAAGAGGCACATAACAGAAGTAAAGAATTGGCACATAAAAGAAGTAAAGACGTGTCACATAAAAGAAGTTAAGAGGTGGCGATTAAAAGAAGTAAAGAAGTGGCGCTTAAGCACATAAAAGAAGTAAAGACGTAGCACATAAAAGAAGTTAAGACGTGGCACATAAAAGAAGTAAAGACGTGGCACATAAAAGAAGTTAAGAGGTGGCGCTTAAAAGAAGTAAAGAAGTGGCGCTTAAAAGAAGTAAAGAAGTGGCACATAAAAGAAGTAAAGAAGTGGCACATAAAAGAAGTGGCACATAAAAGAAGTACAGAAATGGCACATAAAAGTAAAGAGGTGGCACATGAAAGAAGTAAAGAAGTGGCACATAAAAGAATTAAAGAAGTGGCACATAAAAGAAGAAAAGAAATGGAACATAAAAGAAGAAAAGAAATGGAACATAAAAGAAGTAAAGAAATGGCACATAAAGGAAGTAAAGAAGTGGCACATAACAGAAGTAAAGAAGTGGCACATAAAAGAAGTAAAGAGGTGGCACATAAAAGAAGAAAAAGAAATGGCACATAAAAGAAGTAAAGAAGTGGCACATAAAAGAAGTAAAGAAGTGGCATATAAAAGAATGAAGGAAATGGCACATAAAAGAAGAAAAGAAATGGAAGATAAAAGAATTAAAAAGAGGCACATAACAGAAGTAAAGAAGTGCCACATAAAAGAAGTAAAGAAGTGGCACATAAAAGAAGTAAAGAAGTGATCCTTAAAAGAAGTAAAGAAGTAGTGCTTAAAAGAAGTAAAGAAGTGGCACATAAAAGAAGTAAAGAAGTGGCATATAAAAGAAGTAAAGAGGTGGCACATAAAGGAAGTAAAGAAATGGCATATAAAAGAAGTAAAGAAGTGGCACGTAAAAGAAGTAAAGAAATGGCACATAAAAGAAGTAAAGACGTGGCACATAAAAGAAGTAAAGAAGTGGCACATAAAAGAAGTAAAGAAGTGGCACATAAAAGAAGTAAAGAAGTGGCACATAAAAGAGGAAACTCCACATTTATGCTATCATGAAGTATTAGGTAAATATGGAGAGTGATTTACAACGGCAACACTGCATAGCATAAGTCTGTTACCATGTTTTGGATAATATATTGTTGATCTATAAGCCCCAAGCCTTGTCATAGCGTCGTTCGAAACACCCTAAAACGTTTCTAATTGTGGTAGCCACGTTACATTGAACTTGCAGTTACTGTTGGGATTACTTCAATGTGTCTTCTGAAACAGAAACCCAACAAGTTTGCACATTGATAAATTTCTTAGTCCTTTTCATTGAAATTTACATATACATTCAATTTCGCAGTGTCCGTTTTGAATCTCTCTGATATTTCGTTGCTTGTATTCTAGTGACATGTCAATAGCCAAGATAACCAATGAAAAGATGTTATCAGAAAAACTTCAGTTATGGTTTAAATCTATTTGCCATCTTCAAATGATCATCGATTTGAAGGAAATGTACAATATATTAGTTGGGGTTTAGTTGTTTTGCGAATAGTTATTGCACCGTTTGTTCTTTCAATGACTTTTTTCACAGAAATGTATTTGCAAAGCGAAATATACTGTGCAATAAAAATTACAACATGATTCGCTCATTACATTGAAAGGCATTTAAGCAATTAGATAAATCCATGCTTTAATCACAAATAACCAGATTTTGTACTTATGGTTCAATTACGTATAATAAAAAGAAATGCCGAACTGCCAACAAAACTCAAAATCGATAATGATATGACAAAATATGAACAAAGGAAAGATTTACATTGTTACCCTTGAAAAAGTACAAGAACAATAGATTTGTTTTTCTTTCTATGATAAAATGTAACATAATATTCACATGGCATAAGGCACCGTTAGCATCTCGGCCAAAGGTCCAATTAGGGGTCAGTGATTAGCTGAAAATGAGTCATAGACGATGATGTATTCGGACTGGTCACCGTGACCTGAACGAACACTGGTTCCTTATCATTAGGCTGCCGTCTTGGAAAAAGACAACATTGAAAAAATATCACAAACCACCTACCTTTTGTAAGTGTATGTTTGTTCATGGGCATTGTGTGGTAACCTTACGTTGGCAATTATTCAATTTTAAATGTTAAGGAAATATTTTACTCCACTCTTTTTTTTTTATAATAGAATGTTGTTTCCAATCTTTGGGATTCCCATTTTTATTCACAACTGAACTCGATTTTACTCTTGATATGACTGAAGGGCCTGAACACAAATTGAGCGCCCTTTATAGCCAAAAATATTACATAAAATATAATCTTATGCAATATTCGCAAGACAAGATGACATTCATGCCTTTTTGCACTAGAATGTTTTGGCAACAATTTGACAATGAAACGTTTTTCGCGTTGTGCCGTCTTGGCCACAGAGCCCATCAAATAACTCTTGTTTTGTCGTTTCGATCGCTATTAAATGCAACCATCAAATATTGTGCGCGCTGTCGCTTAGTGTAACACAGAGCGTTTCCCTGACAGCCGCCATGTGTAATTGGCTAGATCGCTCTTGGATACAGCATATTGTTTTCTCTCGTGTCTGCGATAATTATTCCCCTTGTGTGATTTGATCTGTTAAATACAATAATGCCGTCACGCGGCCTACAAACCATACCCTGTGTAATATTCAATGAATGAATTAATTGAATAATGATTCATTTTCGATTATCCATTTAATTGTTATTATCTTATTGTCATTTAACTTGATTGTTGTTTTATGGGCTATAATAATAGGTTAGAACACAAACACGGCTGACCTTATCAGCAATTGAATCGTTTATCGGTTAGTTGTACGTAGGTGTTGTGTGCATTGTGTGTCCATCTAACCTTTCGTCGTTTAGTCTTGTGTTAACATAATAACACTCGGGTGCATTCCTTCCAGGCCTAATTAAGCGATAAAATATTATACTTTGTTTTCCTTGATAATTGCAACAATTACAGTGTCCATTGATTCTCTTGATATTTAACACATTAAACTGAATAAAACTGAACTATTTACATAGGAAATTAATTTCTTCCGACGTGTAATTACATACATGGATCAATTCTGATCAGCAGTTTTGATATTTTCTCGGGATTTAATTGTCATTAGTTTTAATAGATTTACATTATTTCACGCAACGCGGACGCTCTTAACTCAACGCACGCGCCAATTAACGTCCGGTCCTTATTTAGGTTTGCGCTTAAATTACCGAGGAAAATAGAATGTTGCTAGAACATACAATTTTCGGTGGACATGTTATCAAATTTACTGTGACGAGCGCTCTGTCGTACTCAGTGCTACCGGCGTTCTGAGCACTTGGATTTTGTCCATAAAACGTGTAATGGGTGTTTTGTAAAGGGGAGGAACAATGAAAGATGGTGGGGGTTATATTTTATTAAGACAGAGAGGGACGCATGAAGGGTTGCGCAGGGGAAACACTACGCACTAAAGTATTGGATGAAAATAGCGTCAACAACTTGTGATTCTCCCACGGACGGGTTCGTTAACAACGCTACTTCAAATTCGTATTTGAGATTATTATTTTTTTCTTTTTTTAAACTAAGTGGTTCAAGTTTAGTCATAATAACAGTTATGCTCAAAGATAATAATGTAAAGTTATGTAATGAACGAAAATATTAGTGAAATAAGTGTGATAATGATATGGAATCTATAGGGATTTAAAAGCAAACGATAAATGATCTTTTCTTACAGAGCGCGATCCGTTCACTCTGCAGTCGACAGGGACTGAATAAAAAGGGATAATTATCATGTTGAAGACCTTTTGGCATGTGTAGAATGATAAAGTCCCTACTCCTGATCAATTCTCTAACAAAACAAAGGGCAACAATCAGTTAAGAAGATAAGTGGAAATGAATCTTCTTTATAAGTTCATTAGTATCCGATTGCAGTTATGTTTTCAAGCTCGGCATATAAACTAGTTCCCGATCCGGTGATTGCGATAAGTCTAATGACATATCGGATGGTCTCCCTTTCGAAAATCTTACATCCGGCGGAAGATGACGCGGTGAAGATAACGCTTGGAATCATTGAAGAAGTCTCAAGTCTATTAATATTACATTAGCATTGACAGAAAATAGATATTTTAGCAAATAGTCATGGCTTAATATGTTGCTAAACGACCGATGAAGAATGCTAGATTTTTGTTTTCCTGTACATTCTGTATATAGCATTATTTATCATGAACTACCAGTTGTGTGTTCTATCATCGATTGCCTCCCCTTTCCGGCATATTTTTAAGTAGTTCAGCTATTCTTAATTGCGACATTTCAATTCATAAAGTTATTCTGTATTCTGTTTAAAAAGAATTATGGTCTCAACATATAACTGTAGGATGAGACAGTTTCTTAGCAAGGAGCGATAGCATAATGTGACCCCTTTACAACTGTATGAGACCATTAAGTCTCCAACAGAAGGAACTAATGGATTTAGTACATTACATTAAATTGCGAATTACTATTGCACATAATTTGTGTTTCGTAGAATATTTTTTCATTTAAAAAAATAAAGTATTTATAAACTTGAGCTTAAGTGTTTGGTTTATGAATTATATGTATTCACATTTGTTTAAACATTTCGTAGTCTTCACCCTTTTTCTATGTGAATTTTATCAAAATATCAATATCACACCAGGAACGTTTATAGTTGACGAAATGAAACACTGATGTAAACTCATGGTAAGAAGACCAGATAGTTTAAAGATTACTGAAATTTTAAACAAAACTGAATCGTTCTGGAATTCGGCACACTATAACAAAGCCGATAAAATGAACGAAAATACAGTATTATATTCCTGTAGATATTTGCGATAAGTTCAATTAAAATGATCACTTAAAGGGTCGTTAAGATAATGATGTTTGTATCACCTGAAAGAGAACTAAAGTCAGACTCAATTAGTTTGACGTTATTTAAGGTTATCCGTAAATTGTCAATTGCCTAAGGGGCAACCTGATCGGACATTATTTGCATATTGTTATTGATATAAGCGATAGGTGATAAGGTCAAATGTGTAGGCGACCATTTTAACATCTAATTGGAACGATAAAAATCAAAATCATGTGGATAATTAATTGTCTGTGCCGA